AGCCTTCCATGAACAATTGTTCAAGCCTTTGTACTAGCATTGTTCTTCAAGGTCAGGAAAAATTCTTTCCCACGGCAATAGTCCAATAGTCCTTCTCTTTTAGTCTCTCTGCGTTGCAGTTTCACTGAATTCCACTAGATGGAAATTCTTATTTTTTTTTTTTTTTTAAGGAATAAAAGCAACAGCAACAATCTTTCTTTTTCCAAAAACAGCAGCAGCATTTTGGAGGGGCAGGCACAGCCAAATCCATACCCCTTCACCAACCAATTCCCAGACCAATGCCTAACCACAACCTTACAAGTTGTGATGATTTGCTACGCAGTAGGCAAAAACCAAATGGCACCAGCCAATCAGCCAAATGGACAAAATTCCTACCAGGCCCCTGCCCCAAGAGCAGACGACCCCATGACAGGCATAGCAAGGTCAAGCAAACAGCCTAACATTAGGGAAGGGAGGGCGGGTGATCCAAAGCATGCAGCAAAAGAGGAAGCTCGTCACTGCGTGCAGTGTATTTAACAAACACGGCTGTCAATCAATAAATGGCAACATATAATTCTCCCCAGTAACAGCCTGCCCCTGCTTAAAGATGGCCAAACTCTTTTCCCAGCAACAGTGAGGTGTCTTGTCAGCCCCCACCGCAACACGTGCTCTCCATGAGGGAGAACACGCTTTCTAAGACTTTCTATTTGGTTTACTATTGCCTTCATTGACTGGCAGTGGCTTACCACGGGAATATTTCTAAGCTCTATTTCAAGATGCTAGCAAGTGATACTGGGACATTGTGTATGTAAAGCATGTACTGTATCACTCAGCTTTGGCCATTCCCCATATTATGGTAAGCACTAATATATGAGCGCTTGATTGCTTATTTATTGATTTGTGAGATGCCTCTTAAAATAAATACAACTTGGCTATTCCTCTGTGGTGGGTGACATTGTGCTCCCAGCATGCCAGGTGGTGGGGAGCAGGTGGAGTTGTGGGTGGTGCAGCTTTGACTGTTGCTGGCAACCATCCAGAGAATTTGGCAGATTCCCAGGGCTGGGACTGGGGTGAGCACACAGAAGTCTCTACTTCACTGCCAACTGACCCTCCCTCCTTCAGTTAATAGAATCTTCTTGTGGATGATGATGATAGATAGATAGATAGATAGATAGATAGATAGATAGATGATAGATAGAAGATCTAAACTTTATTTGCAGTAGCCACTAGCATAGAAATAAGATAAGTGGACTATTGGTTGACAGGGCTGGGAAGGAATTTTGCCCACAACTAAATAGACCTAGAGTTTTCGCTTTCTTCAAAGCAAGCTTGTGGTCTTCTTCCAGTTTGTCCTGCATACACCTGTCACAACTTGACAGGGGGGAGAACTGGTCAGGATCCATAGATTATGAGGGGATTCCCTTAAGGAGTCCTGGGGTGGTGTGGTAATGCCCTTAGCCCTAGCTCATAGGAAACTACGGCTAATTATAGAGGGATCCCTGAAATATTTTGCAGTGTTTAAGAGCAGGAGGAACTTGTGCTATGAAGGATGAAGGCATGGTTTAGCTCAGAACTTGCTCAAGCCAAAGAGTGGCAAATGTCATCTCACAGATGGACATTTTGGAACTAAGCTTAAAGAGGAACATCCATTTAAATAAATGTTTTTGACAAAATATGTTATATCAAAGGTGATATTGTAGTTATCATTAATTTTCCCTAGGCATCCAGAGCTGCTGTAATGCAAAGATTATTAACAAAGACTGGTCTTGTTAGAGTAGATAAACTACTAGTATTTTACCTCCGTCTTGTTAAATACTTGAATGACTCCTTTATTAATCTACATTGCAAAAATATGTCATTATTATAAATCTTTTTAGTAAATGGTAGTGCTATAACCCTCTTTTACACATGCTTTTTCATGAAGGCTGGATGTGATCCAACCAGCATAAGTACTTTTATGTTAAATTGATTCCAGTGTGAGACAATAACATATGTGACATAAACGACCCTTAAAAGAGGTTAAGTTTGGCTGGATTTCATCCAGCATTTGGTTCATGTGAGTCTAGTAACTGACTTTTCCCAGATTATACAATAACAAAGAAATTGGAAAAGATAGGTAAGCAAAAAACGAATTAAACATTTAGAAAATAAATTCATTTTTATAATTGCAGTCTTATCTGTCCATGATCATGTGGAGCTTGAGATTTTGTTACCATGGGCCAGGATTGTTTATACTCAAAGCTTACTTTTAGTGGTCAAAAAAACTCCCAAGTCTCTCAAATGAGTTTCCAAGGTTTGTTTCCCAAAACTGTGAAGTTGATCATTCAGTATCTTCAGTGCTCCTTGTATTCATTAATTGTGTGTTTTACAAGCTCCTTCAACTTCAGCTTATATCCTGAAACTTCACAATATTTATCTCGATGGAAAAAAAACTTCTGTTAGACAACAGGACTGCCAAAATAATCCCACCAACATACATATATACTTTCAAAATTATTGCTTTCTTTTATACAGAGATGCCTTTTCAGGTTTCAGAACTGAGAAGGAGAAATTCACCTCAAAAGCTGTTTATTGGATGTATTCAGAGTTAAATTGCAAGCAGTGTACTTAAAGGTGAAATAAGTTAGCGGTTACTTTGGACTTACAAAATGAGAGATGCTTCTGAGGGGGGGGATCTGAGAAACAGATGTTTAACTCTATCTCCTGCTACAGTTGTAACAAAAATCATCTCACATAAATGGCTGTTTCAGTTTCAAGGAAAGTCTCCATTGGCAGCTGTGGGCGCTTCCTTTGAAATATAAATAGCAGCTTTGAAGAGTTAATTTATGTCAAGACCTTAGCAAGGAAAGAGTTAAAATTGCCCTTCCTCTGTTACTGAGGCTGCTCAGGAATACTACTCATAACCACTATTTACATTACAAAAATAAGAACAGAATAACACAATGAGCATAACATCTAGTTTGTCCCTCTGTCCTACTGAACTGTAGTCGTGGTCCCCTTACAAGCTCAAGCTTCCCTGTTGCTAATATTTACATAACAAAAATGATACATATTCATTGCATTTGTGTAATGAATGTCAAGAGAGTGGACCCTAACCTCCATCAATGTACACCGCCTTGACATCCTTGAAGAAAAAGGTGGGAATGGACCACACAGAAAACCTCTTCCCTCTGGTTTGCTCCCTGGCTATAAAAGCCGACCGTGTCCAGGCCTTCAGTTGTCATATTTGGGGCCAGGGAGGAATTTGCCTGCAGACAAATTGGGCCAGTGTAGGGGTTTTGCCTACCTCATAGAAATGGTCACAGCTTGATGGTGGATAAGGCATGGGGTTGGATCCTTAGTCTAGGTGGATAGGATATCAGGATCCCCCCCAAGCCTGGTCCAAGGAATCAGGGTATCCTATTAAAGGGGCGTGCTTCTGTCCTGACACCCAGACGGGAGCAGCTGATGGGCCATAGCACACCCCAAAATGGTGAGCTAGAGGAGGGTTTTCCCAATTTGATGTATGTCATAGGGTGATCCTTAACCTTGGTTAACCCTGCCAAAGAATCAGCCACCAGACGGGTTGTTTGAGTCAAGATACACATCCAGTGCCTGGGCCAAAACCTGCTGACATCTGTAATCAATAAAGCTGTGACCTGTTTAAATCCCACTGGGCTGTCCTGTGTTTACTGCAACTTAAACCTTGCACTGGCACCACCACCCGCAGCTTCACTGTGCCTGGATATGCAACTAGTTTTCTACAATTGAGCCAAAATGTAAACAAAACCAAGAGATATAAGTAACTGAAGACAAAAGTTCTTTCGAAGTTTCCTTTTATTGTGACACACCTATAGCTGTCTGGAATATATCAAAGGACTCTTGTTTTAGTGCATTAAAAAAAAAGAAAGGGAAAAAAGACCACAGCTAAACATCTCTGTTTTGTTAGGAAAAGTAACAAACAATGCAAATCAATGACTCACTAGGCACAGATTCAGTCAACATCTGAGGTTTTGCATAGGCACATTATGAACTGCATTCTCTTTGTAATGTGATGGGGACGATGTAACAATTTACTGCATACAGATTAATTATTCCATTCTATATATAGATAAACCCAAATGAATGGAAATGCTAGAGTTGGGCATGGTTTGGGACTTTGCATTCAGAAAATACTCCCTCGTTTGCCTCCCCTCCTTTTTCCCTTAACAAACAATAAATTATTGCATGTGTGCATGTGCGCGTGCACACACACACAAGTATTTAGATCATTTAGCTGGAGGCCCTGCTGAGAGTTATCTTTCAGCTAATACAATGAAATAAATCTAGAGTTAGATGATGCAAATGTAAACCCATTTATGTAATGGCCTTGAGTCATGCTTAGATTTCTTCTATTTGCACCCCAAGGCCCCCAAGCCCTTTCCCAGTGAATAACTTCAAACGGACACGTAATTTTAGTTTAAGTTTTGAGGCAAAATTTAGGCTACAACATTATTGATTACAAAACAAATTGAGCGGTATTGGCCTAGGCATTAGTCAGGAACTATAACTGACCCCCGCCTCTCTGGCTGGCAGTCTAAAAGGGTAAACACCAAACGCGGGAGCAACATCGGTGAAGATCCATTGAAACTCACCCCGGGGTTCCTGTGGTGGCATGGCCCTAGCCCCTCAAGCGGACTTCGGACAAGATCCAGGACCCCCAGATTCCTTTACCGGAAAACCCTATTTCTGGAGGGGCGGGTGATGGCCACACTTCTCCTCCCGCACATTTCTATAAACCAATGCCTAACCCCAAACCTTACAAAGTTGTGATGATTGCTAAGGGGGCAGGCGAAAAACAAGTGGCTAAAGCCAATCTGCCAAATGGAAAAAATTCCTACCCAGCCCCTGCTCCAAAGCAGATGACCGAATCCAAAGCAAGGCCAAAGCAGCAGCACCTAAAATAGGGAGGGAGGGCGGTTGTTAGGCAGCGTGAAGCAAGTGCCCCCACCCCTGTCGTGCTGCTGCATTTATAGATCCCCAGGATCACACCCACTCACCCCAATTGGCCCAAACAGCCAAGCGCGATCCCGGGGCCCAACAGACAAGGCTTGGGCTACGCCTAGCAACAACACACCCTGTGGGGGTGGCTTAAGGGTCCCGAGTGCAACCAGGACCCTTGATTTAGGAGGATGCCATTTCTGCATCATATACTGTGCAGGAGGAAACAGGCTACTGGTGAGGGTGAGTTGTTAAATCCCACAAAAATGGTTAAAATAATGACAGAGTGACTGTTGCTTCCATTGTTCCCCAGGGTCACGCCACAGACCACTGGCATAAAGAGTGGTCAGTGGACCACACTTTGAGAACCTCTGCTCCTGAGAATACTCAGCCAGACTGATCAGCTGGGGTAGGCCACAAATCTAAATGACAGGAACTTTAGTTAAGTGTTCAGCCTGGTTGTGTGTATGGGGGGGTAAATGTTTGTAGGGGGCTGAGCTGTTGCATGTTTCCTCTGCTCCAAATGCCCCTTGCCTTCTGGGTGTATGCCCCCTCCTTCCCCAACTTTTGCATTTTTCGAAGGGGACTTCTAAAAGTGATATTCTGCTGAGTGCTGTTAGAAATCACTGCATAATCAGGAAACCTGTCTCATCGCAAAGGTGCTTCTTACTGCATTTAGCTATTTTCCAATTAGAAGCCCCATTTGGCTTGTCAGCCTCTTTCCTTACTAACCATTGGCAGCAGCTAACCTATCATTTTGCTTTTCATGTGATGAGATTCGGTCCACAATATATAAATGCAGCACAGTAAGCCTGCAACTTACATGGGGGTTATGTTCTGGGGATCACGCCTAACCGAAATTGCATTTGACTATATCGGGTTCAATGGCGGGTGGGATTGCCAAAGCCCTTTCCACTCAGATGCCCACCCCCTGTACCTTACTGTACCTTTGTACGTCTCATGAGATGAGTTTTAGTCATGAAAGTGACCTACATATCTCTCAAAGGAGAAATAGTACTGTACAAAATGGCCAAATGCTATATAAAAAGTTCACTACCTTGTCCAGAGTCCAGACTCCCCATTATCAAGCCCTCAAAATGAAATTAATAGTAATCACTCTGGAGAAAATATACCTTCCATAAAACCAACAGAATGAATTAACAATAAATTATAGGAAGGTTAAATGGGCCACGTTAATTATCTCCATAAGCAAATTAATTAGTTGCCCTTGGGGAATCATCCTTAGCCAAACTGGTAGATCACAGCTTAGTCAGTGATCTTGGCAAGGAGGGAATAGTTCACCAATCAAGTCCCAAAACAAATCAATAATTTATCACTAATTTATGAAAGGCAATTATTAACAGCTACAAGGTAATTGCCCTGTATCATCAAAAGCATATATTGGAATTAGAGGTCATTTTCTGTGGGCTTGTGCCCAGGTGTAATCGCACATCCATACCTCATAGCATTGCAAATTAATTGCAATAGTCTCAATTCCCCATAATTCAGATTCTGAAGTGATATTACTCTTAATTAATTAATTACCCTGTTGAAAAATGGGTCCATTAAAATATTCTTAAACTAACAATTATTCCCCAGGTAGTAATTTTTCTTTCTTTCTAGGATCTTTTTCTAGTTGAGACACTATCCACTGAAAATCCCATTATGTTTAAAATCCATTGGTTTGAATAAAACAACCATAACCTTAAGTTGTGGCTCTATTATTATTATTATTATTATTATTATTATTATTATTCTAAATTGTGCTTGCGAGCTGGGGACTTCCTAATGATAGAAAGATACATCTGGGCAACAGATTGCATTTAGTAGGATACTAAGAGCTGCATATTGGTCTGAAAGACTTGAATGTGAATTTCTAGAACCATAAAAACCTAGCAAGACATTGGGAGAGAACTTTCAAAGTGGTTTGTGGCATGCTATTTATGTGTGCTGTAAAACAAGCGAGCAGGGAGACAAAAATCTTGAAAGTATTTGGTTAGCCAAGTATTTGGTGGGCTAGATGGACTAGATCAGAGCTTCCCAAACTTTTCAAGTTGGTGACACACTTTTTGGGCATGCATCATTTTGTGATACAGTAATTCATTTTTGTATTATTTCACAACACAGTAATTCAGTTTTATTAGCAAACCAGAGGTTAAACTAACACTTTCCAGCTCCTAGAAGAGCGTAGGGAGCGTTCATGCGATACACCTACGCACTCCAGTCGACACACTAACGTATCATGACACACAGTTTGGTAAGCTCTGGACTAGATGAACCCTTGGTTTGATCCATCAAAACTCTTTTTATGTTCTGTTTATACTCAAATAGTAGTGAGCTTGAAACTTCACATTAATTTGATTGTAAACTAAATGCATGGATCTTTATGTAGTGCGGGTGATTTGCACATGGCTCCACATCACACCCTTTACATTCTCTATGAACTTAATCGTGTCCTCACCATTCTCTAAGAGGAGCACAATTCTCATTGGGTTCAGATTATTCTGTGGGTCTCATTTACTGGCCGGAAATCACACCGTGATCCACAAGTTGTAAACATATACGCTGTGCATTAGTTGCCAAGCACTCTCAGTCTGAATGGAATGCATAGCCCTCTTCGAGGTGTTGTGTTTACATGAAAAAGTAGCAGGTGAGTGAAGACAATCCCACTAAGCTACACACACACACACACACACACACACAGTTGCCCCCACCCTTCATGAGTTGGATGGTGTGCTTCTGAAGCACAGAGCCTCCTGTGATCATAGTGTGTTCCTGCTTCAAATATTTGCCCTCCATGACTTGAACAGGGCACAGCAATAGAGTAGGTTGGTTGGGAGAGCTTAGTGTGATAATAGCTGCTCTTTCCACTTGCATGTTGCTTTTACACTGTGGTAAAGTGTTTTTAAACTTTGGGCATCCAGATGATTTTGGAGTACAACTTTTGTCATCCCTAGCTAGCTTAGCCAATGGTCAAGGATGATGGGAATTGTACTCCAACAACATCTGGGGACTTATCAACATTGAGTGGCTGTACTCTCCAGGGTTTTAGACAGTGGTTATTTTCAACCCCACATACTGATGCTGGCAGTTAAACTGTGACCTTCTATATCCAGAGTAGATGCTTCACCTCTGAGCTGTGGTCCTTCCTCTAAAATGGAATTGGGGAATTATAGAAATATGTAGCATAAGGAACAGCTACTGCAGCCTGTAGTGCAAATAGCAGCACTCCTGAGCATGGAGACTTATGGCTCTTCTATGAGAAGCATGTGAAGTATTGATTTCAGTGGTGATGCATCAGAGATCTTTTTTTCTTCTATGCTTTTTAACAGCGTCAGATTTGCAATCTCAACCTGACATTCTATTTTTAGTTTTTACTCTCTTCAGCCTTGGGTATACTTTACTGTAGGGGGGGAAAGTTGTAAGGCAGCATTGTGCACAATGGCTTCAGAAGTGAATGCAGTGTAAGTGAATTGCTCCTTTGATCTGGTTCCCCCCTCCCCAAGCTGGATGGAGCAGGTGTACAGAAATTAATGAAGCAACCACCAAATTGCAGGGGTCATTGGTGTGTTGAAAGCTATAAATTAGCCAACTCTTTGGGGAAATTATGTTCTACCTCTGAGATGCTGTCATTTAGAAATCCAAGTTAAACCCTGGAGAAGCAGCAGTCAGAAAGCCTGGAAAAGGGGAGAAAATATCTATTGACATTCATTTTGTGTGATTTTTTTTTAAATCCCTCTCCAAACTGAAGGTATCAGATTTGGAAGGCTGGAGTTTATTCTAAAGTCTATATATCTGCAGGTCGATTAATGTTAGTTAAGAAACTGGATATACTCTGATTTTGTATATGTGAAACCTCTTCTGCACATAACAGTCAAAAGCCAGTGAAGGGAAGTTATATTCTGCTGACTGTGTTTATAAAGTACAGTGAAAGTCATTTTGATAGTTGTTGGCATTTTGCTCTGTTTTAGGTTATAGAAAACAGATATAGCAGTATTGTATGAAATACTGTCATCACTATTGTTACTATAATTCATTACTCCCCCTTCATCCAAAGGCCCAAAAGCAGGTTACAACAATTAAAACACATTAGTATTAAAACACAATATTATTATGATATTTTAAATAATGCTTTTTAAAATGATAACATTGGAAAGTAGCAGAAGTTTTCAAATCCCAGTGAAGGGAATAGAAGTGAGAACTTCATGCCATTATTTGAACACAGAAATGGTGAACTTGCTCCTATACATGCCAGTAAGTGTTTAAAATATATTACATCAGAATAGGATAGCATAAATTGTCACAGACATTGGGTCTGAAGATTCCATCCAGGTTTCACAACCACCAAACAACAAAACATTCTGAAAAATAATACCTAATTAGTTCTCCCAAAAGTGACTTTTTACCTGTCTCTTTTACCTGATTTTAGTTGTCTTGGTTTGCTTAAGGGCTGTTGCTGTTGTACATCTTCCTTCTCTTAATGACTTCCTTGATGAGTTAATGACCAGCCATCACCAGGCTTTGTTCCTCCACTCTCAGCTCCCTCTGCCAAGCTGGCCTAGCGTGTTAGCATAAACTGAATCCAGGGGTTTTTGTGTTTGGCACAAGGTTAGTCACACCTTAATTGATTCTAATATTTGCTGAAAACAAAAATTATTGGTGACTTGTTATGTACTGAAGTTCTCACCCTGGGCCAGCAGGGGAATACTGTAGATAGTTTTCACTCAGGTCCACATATGCAAATAAGGAATTGAAAGTGACGTTCAGTGATTGGATAGTTACAGAAAGTTGTTACTGTTGCCATGTAGTTGAGCTCTATATAAGCAGGTTGGCTGAACCCTTCAGCCCTGTTCTGTTCTGGCCTGTGAATAAACAAGAGCTGTCTGAAGAATTGCTGTGTTGTCTGATATGCTTACCCACAACTTAACAACTTGCACCCACAAACTCTGGCAGCCAAAACTTTTAACAACACACACCACTAAAATCCGCATTTACACCTGGAATCTGTGGGTGGCATGAAGCATTAGGCTCTGTAAAATGTGGAACATCCTTTCCGACTGTTGCATTGCCATGCTTTGTGTCTCTGGGTCATATAAGGATGCATGTGTATGTGGACATTCACTTCAGGGTGCATCAAATAAAGGAAAATAAGCTGATTTGTGGCTTTAAAGATTTCACACCAGAGTAATCACACACACAAACTTTAAAGCAAATTGTGGGTTCTTGATTCTGTTGTCATGTTGCCTTGGCTATAAATCTAACGATTGCTAAAGGTGCTGTGGGATCAGTGGCTAGCAGTGCAGAAAATGAAAATGCAGAGCAGGAACAATATAAGGATCATGCACTGCTTATCTCTGAAAGAGGTAAGTCAGCACAGCAAGAATGCCAAAATATGCAGCAGCTGCTGCTGCACACATGTTGCGAATAGACTGTGTGATGTGTATGATATATCTAATATATTATAAATATTAAAGATTGGTCACATTAAATAGGACCTAAATGTCTTCTAAATTAATAACCTACATCTCTTATTTTCCCATTTTCTCTTAAGCTGTGACTAATTTATACAGATAGTTTTCTAGAATCTGTAATTAAACCTCCTGATGCTGATTTTAAACTTTGTCAAAATGCAGCCTCTTTTGAATTTTGTCAAAATGCAGCCTCTTCCGTCTTAAGTCCTCTTCTCACCCCAATATAACAAACACATTGCAATCTTTAGACCCTGAGTCCCCCCCCCCCAGCTAAATAACTTTTCTGTAGCTAAAAACACACCCACACCCAAACCCTTAACCTGTGTGAATCACAAGTCCCAAAGCAGTTGTGGTTAGTCGTAGTAGGATTTCATAAGAAATCTCTGGTTGTCCTCTAAAGCAGAGGCTGCATTACTACATGGTAGATTTCCCATGCAGGCAATACAGAGCAAAGTTAGAGGTGACACAAGGAAATAGAAAGATGGAGAAAGCATGCATGCTTGCGCAACTTCACAAACAGGGATGAGGTACATCAGAACTGGAGGTATATCAATAAATCCTGTGCAGAGAGATGGAAATTTAAAAGCATTCTGACTTGAGAAATGTAACCAGAAAGGTTTTGGTTTTTTTAATGTTCTACATTAGATCACTCTCTTCTGTCATTTTGTTGAAATGTAGGTTTGTATTCTAAAAGGCCGGGGCTATGAAATTGGCGGAAAACCAATAAGAACTGGCAGAATCCAAGCAGAGTCCAAACACGGAGGCTGACTGATCCACCATAAGAAAAAAAAATATTTAGGATATCCTTTTTCTCTCTCACTATGTTGAAAAAAATATTGTCACATGTTGCTAACATCTCATCTATCTCAATCTCTTCTCCTTTCTCTATATACCAGCCAATTAAATGTTCGAACATTTATAAGAAACAAAATGCACTTCTCTCTCCTCCCACTGATCCTAGCCTTCCCTCTCAACCAAGAAAGGTATCATTAAAAAAAAAAAAACAGCCACTAAACAATTGGCATATAAAACAGGGGGGTGGGGGAGGAACTGCTCTTGCTAGGGTTATTGTGTTCATCTGCTGTTTAACTCATAATGAGCTTCAAGATGTTTCAATAGAATGGGGACCCTGCTGGTAAAGATTTCAAAGAATGTAAAATAAGATCACATGAACAGAAACTGCTGAAGCAGTCTATTGTTGAGAGGTCTAGTGTTAACAATAGGCAGCTTTTCATAGTGGATTCATTACAAGTGATGCGAAAGACTGTGTTGAGTGAACACTGCTATTTCAATAGAAATTGAAGGCTACAATTCTATACATGGTTACCTGGGAGTAAGTTCCATTGAACTCAGTGGAAATTACTTCCAAGTAGACCAGTATGAGATTGTGCTATAAGGTGCTTGGTCGCTCACTGGAAGGACAGATCCTGAAGCTGAGACTCCAATACTTTGGCCACCTCATGAGAAGAGAAGACTCCCTGGAAAAGACCTTGATGTTGGGAAAGATGGAGGGCACAAGGAGAAGGGGACGACAGAGGACGAGATGGTTGGACAGTGTTCTCGAAGCTACCAGCATGAGTTTGACCAAGCTGCGGGAGGCAGTGGAAGACAGGAGTGCCTGGCGTGCTCTGGTCCATGGGGTCACGAAGAGTCGGACACGACTAAACAACAACAACAAGATGCTTGGTCATTCTCTCCAGCTGCTCGATATTCAGCTCTACCTCTTATTCCAATCTATTAATCTCATGGAGGCCTAATAATTATTGGACCAGAGTCTGGAGCCAGTTTTGGAATAGACTAATAAATTGATATTATTTCCATACAAGATGGAGATACTGTGGATAGGGAAACTGATTATTCTAGATGAAGATTTACAGATTATCCTACAATGCTTTTGTACTAAAGTACAAAATGTAAAAGAAGAAGAAGTCTATATTAGGGGGAAATGTGCATAAAATGCTTTATTAGCAGTAATAGCATACAAAAGTGCCTTATATTACATTCCAATGCACACATAGCCTGGAAAGTGTGGATCATAATGGCGGTGCATACTTGAATTTTTTAAGCATCCCTATTATTGCCCAGGTTCTAGAAGTGTTTTAAGATGCTTGGCTCAGCTTCACATATGAGAGTTTGGTTACTAGAAAGATTCACATATGGATCATTTTCAGGCCCTTCTCTACATACAATTTTGGTCATGTTAATCAGAAGTGGAAGCAACTATGGAAGAGAAACAGGTGTGCTTAACTTCTGAAAGTTCAAAGGAGACATTTCCTTCTTTCTATCCTGATGATTTGAGATGATGATTTGTACCCAGGACAAAGTGAATCCACATATGTAATACTACTTTGTGTGGATTTAGTAAGAGCTGCCTTAAACACTCACCTAAAAACTTGTTTGTAACTATGAAAATTCCCAGAGAATAGAAGCAATGCAATATAATCCTCCTTGCTTCAATGCAGAAAACCTCTCTCTCTTGACACAGACAATAAACTATGCAGCCACTGTTAGCATTTGCACAATTCAAGTACATTCCTTCAGTTTGATTTTCTGCACCTTTTGTTTGTATTCTGTAGACAAAAGCTGACATTCAGCTTATGGAAAAGTAGTTTTCTGTCATTCAAAATTAGCTCTCCTTTTGTTCCCAAACGTATTCGTAAGTTTACTGTACAGTGGTATCTTGGGTTAAGAACTTAATTCGTTCTGGAGGTCCGTTCTTAACCTGAAACTGTTCTTAACCTGAGGTACCACTTTAGCCAATGGGGCCTCCTGCTGCCTCCGTGCCTCTGCCATGGTTCTGCCTCTGTTCTCATCCTGAAGCAAAGTTCTTAACCTGAGGTACTATTTCTGGGTTAGCGGAGTCTGTAACCTGAAGCGTCTGTAACCTGAAGCGTCTGTAACCCGAGGTACCACTGTACTCTGTTTTTATGCTTGCAGATATTGAACTGATGGAATTTGCTAGAGGTTAACACTTCAATACAACCAATATGTTAATGGGTCCCCACCCCATTCCCCAAGGGCTCTTTATTTATGTACTATTTCCCCAATCAGCAAGGAATATAAGCACAAGGAAGCAGATTTCTGCATACTCAGACAATACCAGGATTAAATTGGCTAGTTTTGTCAACCCCTTCTTGGCTATCCTGACAAGTAAACTATGAACCATCTAGACATAGAAGCCTTCTGATGCTGGGGGAGGGGGGCGGATACTTTATTAGAGACTGCATCGGGATGCCTTAGAATGTGAGTGCTCAACCCCCACCCCAAAGATTCAGCTCCTCATCAGAAGACTGGTGGTCTTCTTGTACATGCTTTGTTTGCCTAAGAACAACGTCTCCTCAATATTTTAATGGGTGTGTTTTTTTAGGACCCATGGAAACATAAAGGCATGAGGTAATCCCAAAAGCAGGAGTAAACGGAATCACAGTAGGAGCCAAAATTAAAGACTGGGCTTCTCTGGGAAGACTCCACCAACTGCTTCAACTTGAAAACCAATCACAAAGTGAGATTAAAAGATACATTAGACCACTATACATAAAGCAACTGAAGGTGGCTAGAAGTCAAAATACTTCTATCCCCACCTTGAGTGGCATAAAATTAAAAAGGCAAGCAGAAGCAAGGAACCAAGACTTACATGCAGTCTGACTGCAACAGAACTTCTAAACAGTTAATGATGATGATGATGTTGTTGTTGTTGTTGTTGTTGTTTAAGTAAGTAGACAACTGTGGGGCAAGATGCCAATGGACAAGTAACAAAACAAGAACTCATGCATGAAGGATACTAAACAAGTAATGAATGCCCAAGCAGATAAATAGACATACAAAAGAAGGCCACATAAAACCTGTTCAAAAACACCTCCCACTTCAGAAAGAAACAGGCCCTGAAGTCCTGCCACTCTCCCAGGGGAAAATGTCACCTAAGCTAAACGGTGGGCCACCACCAAATGGCAGCTACCCAGTAAAGAAAGGTGGGGACTGGCCCACATGGAGGAAGGGGGGCTACTGGGAATCACTGCACTCTAAATGCAGAGCTGAAAAACCAACCCCCTCAGACCAACCCCTGGAGAGGAAAGGGAGCCTCCACTTAGCCACAGGGATGCTCCATGGGATGTTCCCTCCACTTGTAGAAGCTTTGGTTCTCCAGTCCACCAACACTGATGAGGAGGAGATGTTCCCTTTAGATAAGTCGTCTCCCTTCACTGACCTTACACGGCAGGAGAGGGCAAGGCAAAAGCAGGTAGAAGAGTGGGTGGGGCATTCAGGCTCTCATGACTCTCGACCCCTCACCTTTGGAGAGACCAATTTGTGTCTTTTCCCCATTTGGTGGGGGTGGGTTAGGCAAATTTGCCCCCACAGAGAACAGGAATGTTGTTCTCTTATAAAGAGGCTCTAAATTTATTAAATTTAACAGATTGTCACCAAACCCTCAGTGACAATTCATCTTACCATATCTGACCCACAGTCTATAGCTATGCTATAGCTAAATATAAAAAGGACAGAAAAATGTTGCGTGTCTTCCATGCTTATTTGTTCCTTCTACATTCTTGTGATATATCCAATACATGTCAATAGACACAGTAAAGAATGAATTTTATGGATGACACAAAATGTTTATTCTATGACCACAGGCTCCTTTGTTGTCAGAGCAACAGAATTTATAGCTGAAAATCTATAATTTTTGTTTTCTATGCAGTATTGTAAAATGTTGGCATTCTACAAGAAAGAGAGGGGAGGCATTTACACTTATTCACAGATACATGCAAACATTTAATCATAACTGTTAAGTTTTTTGAGATTTACATACAGTTTTCAATAAAATACATTTGATTACATGTCCATCTTGCCTTAGTTTGGCTACATTCATTGTTCTGGATAAGTCAAAGCAATCTGACTGATCCAAATTGATGTGACTCATTAACGTCCAGATATTTCAGAATAAACATCCAACACAAATCTCTCTGGACTTTTAAAAGGTAATTGTTTGCATTTCTGCAATTGATGAATTCCAACTTCTCCTTTTAAGAAGGGAGATTGTTTTCAAATTGTCTTGGCACAAAGCACTAAAATATAGAAATCGGCTATAGTCTGAAATGCTCAGCACATCTCTAATTGCAAAAGGAATATTATTTCGATGTCTGATACTGCAATTTTGTTTCAACAGGGATAAAATAGTGTGGAAGCTGTGACACTGTGAGATGCAAGAAAATGAGTGTTCCTAGGCAAGCAAGAAAATCCCAAATAGTGATAGCAAAAGCACTTAGCAAATTGCGCTAATTCCTTCAAGAAGAAAAACATGCAGTTTATTTGTAGATAAGTAAGTGCTAATTGTGTACTCTTTCTTTTCCTATTCAAAATCACATTCTGAACAGAAGTTCTGAAGGGATAGGATGAATGACCAGTTAAGAATTCTAATAGCCCATTAATTTCAAGGAGAGGCATTTAAGTATTTGCTTAGCCTTCCCAATGATTTTAAATGGGTTTTTAAAAGGGTTTAACTCACCCTGTATTATATTGCGTATCTGACATAACAGATACAAAGAGAAAACGGCATTGCTCAAACATTCACACTATCATATAACTTGGAACCTTCTTTATCAAGCATTTCTGGAGGGGGGGGGAGACCCACAAATATGCCAAAACCAAATTAGTGAACCATTTGTAGCTGAATTCCTATAAATGCCCTTTGAAATTATGCTTGAGCAATGCATTGAATAAATAATGGCTTAGAATCTAAAATTTTGTTCTGTTCTCAGAAGATGTTTCCATTCAAGGAAGGAGAGTTGCACAAGATCAGGCCCTCCCATTGGGAGAGTGAGGGAGCCACTTCAAATGGCAGGTGCTGGAAGCCAAAGAATTGCAGGAAGCTGTTGGGCAACAGGGTTCAATATATGATGATGTGGCTTGCCCTCTGGCTAGCCTGCTGCCCTCAGGAGCAGTATGTGAAATGGTCAGGGACCCCGCTTTCACTTTCATCTCAAGCAACAAACTGTCTTGGGCTAGTCATAATTTGCATTCTCCCATAAATTGGTTGGCCATCAGTCAGAGATTATTTAGCCGCAATTCAGGCATTGCCAGAAGTGGGACTAGATCATGGGTAGGCAAACTAAGGCCCGGGGGTCGGATTTGGCCCAATCACCTTCTACATCTGGCCCATGGACGTTCCGGGAATCAGTGTGCTTTTACATGAGTAGAATGTGTCCTTTTATTTAAAATGCATCTCTGGGTTATTTGTGGGGCTAAGGAATTTGTTCATTCCCCCCAAAAATATAGTCCAACCCCCCACAAGGTCTGAGGGACAGTGGACTGGCCCCCTGCTGAAAAAGTTTGCTGACCCCTGGACTAGATGACCATTTGGATCCCTTCCAACTCCCTAGTTCTATGATTCTAAGTGCAACTTTCTTTCTGTGGATGGAGTGCAAACTTAAGAGCAAAGCTAGTCTCTTTGGGTTTTAAAAATGATGTCCTGAACTTCATTTTCCCCTCTGCATAGAGAAGTGTATTAAACCATCTTTGTCTGTGTTATCTGTTTGCACTGTAAGTATTTCAGCTCAAATTCTTAAACAGCTTTTCTTATTTTTAGGGGGAAATATGACTGTCAGCCATTCTGACTTCCGTAATACTTCTTGCCTGAGAAGCAACTACTTAAAATAAGGACAGATTATCAGGCCAGATTCTTGGGCTGAACCTTGCCTCAGATTAAGCCCTGAATCGAAACAGTATTTTAATGTCAGTTTAAAGCTTCTAATGAACAGCTAGCATTTTTTTTCAGATTTTAAAATAGAATTTCTCATGTTGGAAGTCTATTTATTTTTGCAAGTTGATAAAATGAATAAGTTTAGGACTTTCAGGCATGCCTTGTATAACCTTGTGTTTACAGATGGTGTCGAACATATACTCTGACAGCACTGGGGGTGGGGGGAGTCACAAAAGTTTGGTGCGTCAGCCAAAACGTAAGGTATCAGGACCAAAGAGACCATTCTAAGTGCCATTCAATTTATTAGTTACCTGTCAGGTTAGCAGTGCCTGTCCTTTCCATGGCTCCTGAGAAAGGAATCTAGAGCATGAATGAACAGTACTTGGCCTCAGCAGCGGTCAGTAGAGCTTAGCAGGTAGGGCAGGGTTGCAGGTCTGGCTTCCCAATGCTGAGCATCACTGCCACTTGCAGAAAGGCAGAGGCATGAGGAGCTCAATGTGGAGTGGCTGAGCATCGGAAGACACTGTTTGGTCTATTTCCTTGCTCACTTCCCTTAACATCTCAGCAAACAGTACTAGGGATCAACTGTTCTACATTGATGCAGGGCCGTAGCTGGGAGGTGGCGAGGTGGGCCCCTGCCAGGGGTGCAGGTGAGGGGGGGTGCGCAAAATTGGCTTAAAATATGTCTGCAAATATGTCTATAAATAAAAATATCAATTATTGCCTGATAAGGAAAGGTTTATAAATGGAGGCTGAATTGAATGGATGGAGGGGGAGGGGTTGGAGGAGAGGCAGAAAGAAGAGCTCATTTATCCGTGGCTAGGGGGCGCAATCTGGACGGTTCTGCCAGGGGTGCAAGGTCACCTAGCTACGGCTCTGCATTGATGTCTCTGTTGTTGCACACCACCCTAATCTCCAAGTGGTGTGAGATTTCAGGAGTTCCAGGCACTTACCTATGGTTTGTGTTTCCTTTTGGAAATGAGGAACAGTGCAGACTGTGGTGTCTTTATGATATATGGTTTCTTGACACATCTATACAACCAGAGCCTACGATGGAGGGGTTCACAACATTAACACACCAAGAGAATCTTGTTTCTTCCATAGCCATAGCCTTGGATTAAATATCTGGCATGTCTCTCTTTCCAGCTTGTTGCTTTGATTCTAGCTCACATCACTGCAAACTCTCTGCTCTCAACTCTGGCTTTGTCTGTTGAGGGAGGGACCTCACCCATTTGCCATCTCCCACAGGGCCCCTTCCTCTCCAGGAGGCTAGCTTGGCTATTCTAAAAATTAGAAGCCGTGATTAAATTTTAACCCTTGCTGGATCCAGGAATTAGAGGGGTCTCACATACAGCCCACTCCCCCCCCCAATAACAATATGAAATTATAATTTGAATGGCGTATGCCACCCTGAGTGGTGTGCTTTGCTGATAGAAATAGTTAAAAAATAAAAATAAAAAGGTACATCCACAGGTTTACAAAAACCTGAATGTTTAAACCATTTCCCCCCAGTTAGAACTTTCATTGTGGCCTAGCATTGTTTCTCTGAGGAACATTAAGGGGAGCCAGCACCTTCAACTTCAGCTTTATCTTCATGAAATGAAACAGTGGCAAAAAAGTGGGGAATCATTTTGACTGTTTATCTTCTTAACATCTCCTCATTAAAAAAAATCTCCCCAGCTTCAGAAACAGTTCCTTAGTTTTACACAGAGGGCATGTGAAATGCAAGAAAATAGCAAAGCAGCTTAATGGTGTGTGTGCCTGGATGTGTGCTGTGCTCTATAAGTGTGTGCTCTATAAGGAAGGATTTAAAAATAACCCTGAAAGTGAGGAGTATCTTCTGTTTTTCTCTCTCCTTGTACCCCCAACATCCCTCCCCGCTCTACCTTTTCCCACATGCAATCCCCCTCGTCCTTAACAGTCACTCAGCTTTATGGGGACAGAGAGAATGTTGCAGGAAAGACCCATGTCTGCATGTGTGCCCTGTACTGTGTGTATCTCACTTTCCTTCCCTGCAATGACAAAATAGTTCTGCTTCTGATCTGTATCTTGGTTTGTCCTCTCTGCACGCACACACCATGTGCACCCAAATTTTGGGGAAAGGCAGGCTGGGGCTGCCATGTGGAATGTGTGTTCTCACTTGCATGTGTGCCAAAATTGTGCTGAAAATGGTGCAGAGCCGATTGGGGCAAGGGTGGAACAGTAAAATCCCCAGTTATGTGTGTCCTGTAAGTCAGCTAAGCCCCCTTTAGGGGTGTGGTTGCATTGTGGGATGGCCAGCGCACCCCATCAACGATGCAGGGCTGAGTGTTGGGCGTTCAATTCTTGCTGGAGCACGAGCTTCAGGCTTGAAATCCTATTCTGTGTCAGCCTACCAAATTGGCCAATGGCAGGCTGACGTGAACATCTGGGCCCTCTGGGGGATGAGTCTGAGGGAACAATCAGGCTTCCCTCACGTCCACTCCTGGGGGGTTTAAAACAGCTCATGCCATTCCCTGGCATCCAGCTCTTCTTTGTTCCAGTTTGAGTGGCTTCCACAAGGAAGCCGCAGAAAGAATGTGGTTGGTAAAGTGAGCTGTGGACTCAAAAAGGTTTAAAACTACAGTGTCAGCTATCTTTGACTCCAATGACATATTTGCAACTATATTGTTTAATTGGAATCGCTATTATTGCTATTATTATCTTGCAAATACTATTGTGCTTAATAGTTTGGCTGGGGAAACCCAGCCAGATGGGCAGGGTATAAATTATTATTATTATTATTATTGTTATTGTTATTGTTATTGTTATTGTTATTGTTATTGTTATTACTACCAGGTTTTTTCCTCCCTCTACTGCTGATAGAGGATAGATGCAGCCAGTTTTTTGTTTTCCTATTGGTGGGTTATTTTAAGGATTTGTAATACAGCTGTTGATACATGATACACTAGTTTTCTACTATGTGAAATATTGAAGAAAGATAAATAAACTGATTTTCAGCATGGATCAACAGGTTATTAGGACAAAACTGTCCTGCCTCAAGACATTTATTTGAACAAACTATCACCATTATCTTCTATGACTAATTAGTTTCCCAAATAAATGTTATGACTTTATCTCTGGATTGTGTTCCTCTCTTTTGCATTTGCAATAGCAAGATGTTTATTAAACAGCACCAAAAGAAATGAGCAAGTAATCAGTAAAGGAAAGTGTCAAAGAAAGTTCACACTTTCATTTATCATCTTTCAGTTTCGGAGGCTTACAAAACTAAATTGTGACAAGAATTGTAATCTCATCATGAATCCTGCTGCGAACTGGAAGAGGAAGAAAGGATAAAAGTTTTCTCACTCCCACATTACTCCACCCTTCTGTGTTCCTCTGTGAATGTGAGACATAACGTGTCCCAAAATTAGCAAAGAACACCACTGTGTCTGTAAAGTTGTAATTCTGGTTTGCTATTCTCTGCGAACAGCTTTCAGAAAGTTCACCAAAAAATGGAACAACCTGTATCCATTCTTTTGAAAGAGGTGATTGCAAAATTGAAAATAGGAATCCATTAAAGGACTTCTCTGCAA